ATATATATATTAGCTCTATGGTTACCATTGCAATTACATAATAAAGCTTCTTTTAAGAATGATTGAAAATTACTATTTAAATTTAAAGTGTGTGTGAACACACGTGGAGGTCAGAGAACAACTTGCAAAAGTTGATTTCCTCTTTTTACCATGTAGGTTCCAGCGTCCCTCTTCGACTCAGGCTTGGTGGCAAGTGCCTTTCCCCACTGAGCCATCATGTCAATTCCCATATAAATCTTCTTAAAATAAAGAATTTTATTTTGATCTGGTATTGGCTGAATTTCAATCACAAACACCCCATTATGCTGCAGTTTTATTCACCCAAAACTTTGTTATTAATATTACTGAAAAGTTTCTGCACCCCGATATGTCTCTCCGCCAATGCAATAATCCAAATCAGACCAAATCAAGCCCAATTAGAAAAAGCCCAGGTTTAATGGATAAAATGCTACTGGATGATTTTCCAGCCCCCAGAGAGGAAGTGGGAAAGGAAGACTGGAAAACCCCCATGTCTGCTTTCTGGGGGGCAGTTTAATACCCTGTGGGAGTGGTCTTGGGCATCTCTGGGGGAGGGGTTATCATTTGGCCGGCTTTCTGAGATGCTGCAGGCTTTGGAGAGAGCCAGGGGTGGGGTGGGGTGGGGTGGGGTGGGGCTTGGGATGGAGCTTCTTCCAGAAAATTCCAGACTCTTTGGGTATATGGATGCCAGGGGCTGGGGTGAAGCATCCACCTGAACAGTTATGTTTGACACTTTTAAGTATTATATACACATTGTTATACAAGTATACCTGTTTTCTGTATGTGCTTGTCACTTAAAATCTACGGACCAGTATTAAAGTATTAAAGTAGCCTGTGGGGTTGTGTGTGCTGGAAACGTATGACTGTGTTTTTCTCCTTACTGTCCTTTCCTTTGACCTGAAGACCTCTGGGTTGTCTTGTGTGCAGCAGGTCCAGTGCTAATATACTCCTTTGCCTTTTGAATATTTGGGAAGTTCTCAGTTTCTTCTTCATTTTTGCAGAATAATTTTGCTTACTGCAATCTTTTCAGTTGGAATTAATATTTCACAGCTTTGAAGACGTCATCTGTATGAGTCCATTTGCTGCATTTACAAAATACTGAGACCAGAATATCTGTAAAGTGGCTTATCATTTTCTTCCACTTTTTAGTAGAAGGCAGTAGGTGTACAGTCTAACAATTTTTTGTGACATGTTCACACGTGTGTGTACCATGCTCTGATCCACTGACACCCAGTCACCTCAACAGTCTCCCCTCTTTTTCTCCCGTCCTTGTTCTCCTTCACAAACATTCCAGTTTTTGCTTTCATGAAAAGAAGTTTGTTTTGCTTACAGTTTTGAAAAATACCAAGTTCCCTTGACCCCAGTGAACGTTTCCTTTCCACTGTTGTGGTTTTTCATTCCCCAAATCTGTGAGGTTGTATGCACATATTTCACGTCCTTGTTGGCAGATGATTTTGCTTGTGTGTCGCCTTCCTGTGTCCCTCTACCTGCTCATCTGGGGCATCCATCAGCTCATTAGTTCCTAGTAGCTGACCAAGCATCTTTAGGACAATTCTGAAAACTCTCGCTGAAGAAGCTCATACATTTGCGATGCTTTAATCTATAAAGTATCCCTTCCTTTCTCTGACTTGGCCATGTATCCCTCTTTTTGTTTTGTTTGTTTTTGTATCTGTGTAAATTTTTCCGTGATTTTGACATTTGAAATATCACTCACCTTCCCTAGCCTTTTTTATAATTACAGAGACATCTGAACCAAGCTCGTGGGAGCTCACGAAGTCTAGATTGACAGCTGTGGAGCCTGCATGGAACTGAACCAGGCACTCTGCATGTGGAAGACAATTGTTTAGAGTGGTCTATCTAAGGTGCCCATGTAGTGGGACCAGAATCTATCCCTGGTGCATGAGCTAGGTTTTTGGACTCCATTCCCTATGGTTGGATGCCTTGTTCAGCCTTGAGGCAGGGTGGAGGAGCTTGGTCCTGCCTCAACTTGATGTGTTAGGCTTTGTTGATCCCGATGGGAGGCCTTACCTTTTGGGAGGAGTGGATGGCAGGGTAGCTTGTGGGGGGAAGGTGAAAGGGGCAGGAGGAGGAGTGGGAAGGAGAACTGTGGGTGGAATGTAAAATTAAATTTAAAAATTGTTAAATAATTTTTATTTAATTTACGTGTGTGGGTGTTTTGTCTGTATGTACATCTGTGTAACCTGTGAGCACTTGGTGGCCAGAGAAGCTAGAGGAGGGTATCAGGACGCTTGGGACTGGAGTTACAGTTTTGAGTTGCCTGGTGGATGCTGGGAGTCAAACCTGTGACCTCTGGAAGAGCAGCCAGTGCTCTTAACCACTGAACCATCACTCTATCCCTCCTTTTATCACTGTTTTTTGTACAGCCTCTTTATTTCTTCACGTTCAACGGTAATGTTGGTCTTTCACTCTATTTTTCCGTACATTCTAACTTCCACTCTAAAAGTAAGAGAGTTCAGTATCAAAGTAGGCTACCACTGGGATGTTTGTCTTTCTTAAATCTTGACATTTTTAATAAGACTTTAACTACAGACACTTTGAAACTCGGTATCAGGATTTGTAGAGATAGCTCTGCAAATAATGTTTTCCAGACTGTCTGGAAAAACAAAGAAAATCAATGCAAGGTCCAGAGGAAGCCCTGCCTCAAAGGAACAAGAAGGAAAGAATATCCCACAGTCCCCTCTGGCCACTGGGCATGCACACGGCTGTGTACACATTCAAACACACGCGCACATACAACATACAAACATACACTGTATTCACGCACATGCATAAACACATACGTGGATAAATAAAAATAAATAAAGCCCAGGATCTCTTACACCATTCACCATTTGAATTCTTTAGCTGTCATTACATCATGAATGGTTAATATAACATTGTACTCTCTCGCGCACACAAGTACACGTCTGCTTACCCTCCTTGTATTTTAGAGTAACAAGATCAATGTCATCCTGCAATCTGACATTTTGCAGTGAAACAATCGTTTGGACAATGAGGTGATCAGATGTCTTCAGTAGGCAGATGCTTTCCCCAGATGTGAACTCTCAGGAGGGTTTATTTTTATCTGTACAATGATGGCTACATAACAAAACTCTCGTTGTATTTGTAACTGTGTGGTCATTGTCATGGCTCCTGTCACTCCATCACAGGAAAAGTGGGCTATCAGCTGCGTGGAGCACACAGACCAATGGCGATGTGTTTAGTTGTTATTTTTAGTTTCTTTACGCTTTGTGGATTAGAGACTTTTGGAAGCACCTGCTAATGAAAATACCTCCCCCTCAAATCTCTTGCATTTAATAAGGTCATTGTAGAGACATAAGAACCAGTTTTCAGAACTTGTTATATTTCAGTGTTGGACCTGAAGAGATGGCTCAGTAGTCAAGAGCACTGGCTGTCCTCCCAGAGGATCACGTTCAGTTCCCATCTTACAGGGCAGCTCACAACCACAGAACACCAACACACAAAATAATAGAGTAAGAACAAAAAAAAAAAAGAATAAAAGAAACTCCAATATCATTCACTATCTTTTCAAAGCCTAATTCTTCACCTAAACACAGAATCAGACTCCTCTTCACTCTCTTGGTCTAATATATCCCCATAGTCACTGACCACAGCGTTGTTTGCTTAACCATTGCCCATGACCCACATCAAATATTCAGAATATTCTTCATACACTTACCCCTTAAGGTTATGATATCCCAGAAAGGGAGTGGGATTGTTGGATAGAAAATGAATTATTAATGAACTTTTAAATAATTCTCATATAAACAAAAGCTGAGGACCTCATGCATATGAAATTTACTATACTAAAGTTCAACACTGATTGAAATTGGCACCCTTGTCTACCAGAGATTATAGTAATCTGAGCGAAAGAAATAAATAGAATCACACAAGATGCACAGCTCTGGACAGTCTTGCACACTTGCTGAATCTTAGGTTTCGATGGAGAATGAGACAAAACTCCGTGCCTGGCGTTGGGTGAAATGACTGTCAACAAAGAGTGACAGCTGAGGAGGTTCCACTGAGTCACGATGTGTGCTGTGAGACCCGCACACGGGCTTCACCTCACTTTGTAATCATTAATGGCCTTAGGAAATGAATGTGCTCTCCAGGGCGCAAGTGTCCACCTGACTCCTGGAACGCACAGCCTGCAGACTGCTGCCATGGTCATGTTACTGTGTGCACCTGCACAATTCCACTCCAAAACAGAAAGTGACTTTAAGGAAATCCTCGCTTTTCTTCTTCTTTTTCACTTGTTATATGAGACTGTCTGATTAGGTGTGGTCCTTGCTCTAAGGCTCTGGGTCTAGAAATCCTTGGAGGAGTTAACACATCACATAGACCTGTGTCCTCCTCTCCCTGTCGCTCTGACGGATGAAGTCCTTTCACTCAGGACTGCTCTGAGTGGCACACGCTGCTCCTATCACTGCTCTTCCTCTTGTGTCAGTCATGAGGTTTTCCCACATTCCAGTCTGCAGCTCCACACTCCACAGCTCATTTCACAGTGTGGATATTTCGAGAGGATTTCAGAGCTTCAACCGGTGCCAAATAGCACCATAGGCTTTCATGTATAACCCTCAGTCTCATGACACAGCACAAAATAGCTTACATCTGAAGCCTGGGAGATCAGGAGCAAGGTAAATTTGAATACAAGATGAATATTTCATCGGAGTTCTGAGGGGATAACTTATAACCGACAGAGGGACAAGAACAAAAGAGACCATCCCAGAAATGTGTTTAAAAACCAAACTCTGTGTCCTGTATGTTGCAATTCTTTCTTTAAAAAAATAATAAAATGTAAGCTCTGTGTGCAAGACAGGCACCACGGTCAGTAACTATGGAGAAACCCTCAGCTACCAGTGTGGGTGGGTGTGGACCCACACAGCAGAGAGTGCGCAGTGGACTTCCTTTTTCGCTTATTTCAACTCACAGACCTTGGAGTCTGTTCCTGTCCACAAGTTCACTGTCAAGTCCCTCCACCTACAATGGATACATCAGTGGTCTACGCTGACTTAAAACTAGCCAGGACCCAAGAGCCTAAGCAGGCATCCCCTCCAGCTCCTCCCCCAGGTAAGCAGCTTTTCTTCTCTAGCATTTGAATTATCTTCCAGAGCTAAATTTTCCTCTGAAATGTGTGGGTTTAAGTCACTGCTTTGAAGGTGAGAAGCAGGTCTGTGTCTATGTTAGTGTTAAATACTGTGGCAGTCTGCCTGCAGAAAACCACAGTTCTGGGAAGGTCATGCATTCCATTTTTATTCGATTAGGCAGCAGGAAACCTGAGCATCACTTTCCCTATTCAGACTTTGTTGAAAATCCTGAAGAAAGAATATTTTACTTACATGAGCAAAGTCGTGTTTCAAGAGCTGTTGATGCAATCAATTGCCAGTTCCGAGGTCACCTACAGAAAGTGGACACTGTGGCATTGCTGTACTTCACTGCAATCTCAGAGTCCCTTCACAGTGCAGAGTGTAGATTTAATGGCTAATGTCTTTGTCTCCCAGAAGGAGGGTAATCTTGGGGAGAAGTCACAGTCAAAATCAAAGACTTGAATTAAATCAAAAGCTGCTGGTGCTGCTGCTGGTGTGTGTGTGTGTGTGTGTGTGTGTGTGTGTGTGTGTATAATTTTATTTAAATTTTTAAAAGCTGGCTATTTCTATCTTGCAAAGTATAACGATTTTAAATGGATGTACCACACAAGGTACCAAAGCCAGTCAGGAATTAACCCTTCAACACTGACTGAAAGTAGCAATCTTGTCTACCAGAGGATTTAGTGATACAAGCTAAAGAAATGGGGAAGGTTGTTCAGATGAAGCACACGACCTGAGGATGGCCGAGATGTAAGAGGCCAGAAGCTCAGGCAGAGAGTCTATAAAATGATGATGATACTTTATTCCGTTCTGCTGGCTAACTGAACCCACTGACATCCGTCTTAAAGCAGTTGCCTTCCAATCTGACGATTCTATGAGTTATGACACGTGGACTTCCAACTCCAGAGCTTCTTGTTAGAACTGTGTACATTGCCAACGCTCTGAGTCAAGAAGAAAGTCTTCGAGTCAGCAAATAAGCTTCATTATAATGTTTACATAGGGTGAACAGAAAGTGGAGGGAATTGCTGTTTTGATAAGTGTAGGGGGAATTCATAGCACCAGTTTTTGTTGTTGTTGTTGTTGTTGTTGAGAAAAAGCAAGTCTTGGTTTTCCCATCATGTCTAGCAAAAGTGTAGGAAGAGTGTAAGAAAAGGAATATAGAGAAAGATAAGGAGGCTCTTCTTAAACTCTACTGTAAGAACCCAAGTCAAAAAGACTAGAAAAAAACGTATCTAGAAAAAAAAAAAGGACTAGGGAAAAATTATTATTTTAAACTTCAATAATCTGGGAATAAAACTGAAGAAAAACACCAAACAAACAATAGTAGAATAGAAACAGAACATAGCGTTCGGATAGAAAATGTTGATGCAGAAGCATAACTGTGAAACCACTGGGACCTATTTAGCTAAAGGGCTCACACCATGCTAAATTCGAAGCAAGGTGATTAGATCTGCCAGCAAAGAGAACCGGAAAGGGGGACGTGAGTAGTGACCTATTTTGTTTGTGGTCAAATGGCCAAAGGTTTGTTTTGATGGTTCGATGGTCATGTAAAAATGTAATTGTAATAAGTAAAAAATGCCTCTGGGGTTTATTTATTCACTCAGAAATAACCAATTACTATGAAACAAACATTGCTCTAGAAACTGGGGAAACAGCCATGAAGAAACAGGAAAGCGTCTTTCTCCCTGTAAATTTTATATTACTGTGAAGGTTTAAATCAGTGATATAAACACCTGTGTCAGAGACAGTGCGATTTTGAATGCCAGCGAGAAAGCATTTAAATGGAAATTAAGATTTTTGCCATTAGAGATGGCATCATATCAAGCAGAGTAATCAAGGCAGGCCTTTCTGAGAGATGACCCTGGCCTCAAGCCCTGGAAGTCTCTGGAAACCAAGGCTGAGTATCTGAGAGAGGAGCCTCTAGGCAGCTGCACCGGCAAATGCAGAGGGAGAACAGGCCTGCGATGTGGGGAACATGCATGCCTGGTGTGCTGTGGAGATCAAACCAGGAGGAATGGTGACCGGTGGAGAGATTTGGAAGATATTCCATAGGTTCAGATGTTGAGGGGAAAGCCATTGAATGCCTGGAACAGTGGAGATGACTTAGCTTTCTGTGGGTACCAAAGCAGGTACTGCCACAGAGCCAGTGTTTACAAAGCCTCTTCTGTATGTAACTCCAATAGTAGAACAGAGAGTACGGGGGGACAGGAGCGCTTTAACTTTTGTCATGAATGCATGAAGATTTTTTTTAAAGTCACCTAAGTGGCTTTTTATCTGTAATTAAAACAAAAATAAAAATAAAAAAAAACCTCACTTTATGGAAAAAAGGAAGGAAGGAAGGAAGGAAAGAAAGAAAGAAAGAAAGAAGAAAACAATATTTATTGCCAGTTACCACAGGCCAGATGCTATGCTCAGGAATTTAGAATAATTGTTGCCTACAGTCCTGCCTCCTGTCCAGGACACTCATGACCTGCACAACAGCGGTGATGAACCAATGGCCATATCCTCAAGTCTAACACAGTGCTTCCTTCCATGACAGTTCCGTCACCTCTCTCCATACAGCCCTGCTCACTGTCCACAGCAGGTTGCTTCCAGACCTCTGCATTCATGCTGGTCTCTTACACAAAATGTCGTCCTTATAAGTAACCTGCTTGTGTATTGCTGCGTGCTTCAGGTAATCTGTAGATACTGACGGCACCGAGGATGCTTTCAGAGCCATGGGAATGGCTGCTGTGGAGTATTTGTTAGAGACTAAAGATGGAGAAAGGAAGTGTGCTTTCCACACAGAAGCAGCCTTCTGTATGTGACAATCTGCCATCTGTAGCTAGTTGGGTCTACAGATACTACACCAAACACGTGTTACAGTGTCCATGACTCTTCTGGAACACCTTTCTTCTTCTCTCTCTCTTCACCCCTTCCTTTTCTTCTTTCTCCAGTGGAAAATTTGCAAAGAAACTAACTCATCTAAGTGACTGTCCTGTCTCAATGCTGGTCTAGAGACTAGAGACAGTTGGTCCTTGTCTTCAGTCTGGGTTAAACTGTTCATTTGGGATAATGTAAAAAAAAAATAAAATAAAATGTATCTAGAAGAGGTAGAATTGGATATACAAACAATTCTGGAAAATTCTGGAAAATACAATGAATAATAAAAGACAATATAATATATAACAGCATATCTGATTTTAAAAATTTAACATGAAGTCAAAACATGTATTCATTTACATTAACATTTATATTACAATTACATTAATATTTAGAAAGATATAAGTCAAAATTGATGGGGGAGAGTCTTCTGTTTTATGTTAATTTCATTGGTTAAATAAAGAGACTGCCTTGACCCTTTAATAGGACATACAATTAGGTAGGCGGAGTAAACAGAACAGAATGTTGTGAGAAAGAAGCTGAGTCAAGGAGTCGCCATGATTCTCCTACTGGATACAGACGCAGGTTAAGATCTTCCCTGTTAAGACACCTCATGGTGTTACAGGGATATTAGAAATGGGTTAGATAAATATGTAAGAGCTAGCCAATAAGAGGCTCGAACTAATCGGCCAGGCAGTGTTTAAAAGAATACAGTTTCTGTGTAATTATTTCGGGGCATATGCTAGCCATGTGGGCGGCTGGGTGCTGGGGACGCAGCCCCGCTGCTCCTATTTCAACACAAAATAAACTGTTTAAATCATGATACTTTATGAACACATTTATAACTTAATGTATTTGAACTCCTGATATACATAAGATATTTATTGTGTAGTAACTGCTATGGTTACCAAGAAAAGCAAAGATACAGGACCTGGTATTTCACCAAGGCAGTATTGTAGATGCCTGTGTTATAGCACAGAACCCCCTTAATCAACAGTTTCAATCTGGTGCACTTTCATAATTTGTAGTCAACAAGTTGATAAATATTAATCCAATGGTTAAATAGAAAAATCCAGGAAGAAGTAATTCTGTGTCTTGAACTGGACATTGTTGTGAAGAGCACAGTGAGCTCTCCCACCGTCTTGGTCAAGGCATGAGTCACTCCTCACCACCTTCGTCACGGCTCTTCTTGGTTGTCAACTTATGCCTGGAGTGTAATTAATCCAGAAATGAGAGCACATTTGCGATCCAGGTGTTAGGGCAGAAAGACATCTGGCCTTTAAGGCTGGATGACACACGCCTTTAATTCAGACCTGGAGACTGGAAGGCACACCTTTAATCTGGGCCACACCTTCTGTTGGAAGCCCATAGAAGGACAATGGAAGAAGGAAAGGTGGGGGAAGGGCTGCTTCACCTGCTTGTCCTCACCCCCATAAGCACATTCATCTCCTTCTTCGAGATCCCAGCAGAGCAGCTGAGACACCAGCCTTGCAGGACTCAGCAGCTACTAGAGTTGAGCTCTCCATTCATAGCCATTGTTGAGCTGCAGCTTGAAAGTCCTCCCAGTATATATATATATATATATATATATATATATATAGAGAGAGAGAGAGAGAGAGAGAGAGAGAGAGAGATTCATTCTATAAATTCTGTGACCGTAGATAACCCTGACTAATACAGCCTGCCAGTCACCCAGGCTTGTGCTCAAATACCTCTCATTATATTGAATAGTGGCTTCAAGTTGTGAACTCTCTGAACGCTGGCAACACTTTTGCGTCAAAGGGAAGCCACACTTGCTTCCTCTACATGAAAAGGTTGAAACACTCCATTTAAGGAAAGGGAAAAGGAGAAATATAAAAACAGATTTTGCTAGTACATAACAAGCTGTGAAAGGCACAGCCACACTTATGCACGTACTCTGTTAAGACAGAAAACTCCCTTGTGTTTGCGTGTGGGAAGCAATACTCATAGAGATGGCTTCTAACCACAGCTCAGCTCTCCATTAAGAGTTGGAGAGCTCGACCTGTGCAGATAAAGGGGGAATAATGTAGTTAAAATCCTGGAAACAACACGGTGGTCAAGGCCACTGCTTAGAGTTCTAGACCAGCCAGGGCAGCATACTGAAACCACACAGGTGCCTAAACTTTATTTCAAGATGGAGAAGATCATTACAGACAACAGTGAAGCAGGCCCCATGTTAAATAATAGAATTGCTATACATCACCAGTGCAAAAGTGATACTTAGCACAAAACTGAGGTGTGTGTGTGTGTGTGTGTGTGTGTGTGTGTACCTCCTATAAACGAAGATACTCCTTCTTGGAGGAATTCCTGGCTCATTCCCATAGCAGAACACATACATTATTTTTGTACAGCACTCGCTCAGCAATTTTCTAGACATCTTCTTCATCAATCATTTTACCTTCCTAACACCCATTTGACCCAATTGTGGAATTCGTAATAAGGAGGCTAAGAAAGGCTCTTTTCTTCACCCCACCCTCAAAATGAATCCAATTGTCCATGTTAATCAACCTACCTCCTTGATTGCAAACGCTCTCAACTAGATTAAAAGTGTGTTTTCTTTAACTTCTCAGACAGCTGCCAGTGCCCACGCTGGCATCGGTTGGCTCTGAAACTCGGCTGTGTTGGGTTGATCCTTCTTGTCCTTTCTGTGATTGGACTCGGTGTCTTAGGTAAGTGAAACATAAGCTTTTACCTTAGAATTCTCTCTCTAGCCTGGCAGTGGTGACAAATGACTTTAATCCCAACATTCTAGAGCAGAGGTAGGAAGATCTTTGTGAGTTCATAGGCCAGTCTGGTCTACAGAGCGAGTGCAAGGACAGCGAAGGCTACACAGAGAAACCATGCCTTGAAAAACAAAACAAAACAAAACAAAATCTTCCTTAGTTCCACCATAAGTATTTTGGCTTCTTCACATGATCTGGCCACCCTGAGCCTGGGGGAGGAACAATGACGGGCAGTTACAGGACAATATCCCCTGTTGCATTTCTCTTGTTTTGGAGAATCACTATGGGGATGACTATTGTGCAGCTAGAACTCAAAAAAAGGTCACAGTGTGACAAGATAACAATAACAATGAAAACCACAATGCCTAAATATGAGTTTAGTAGGTGTCTGCTAAATTCCAGAAGACAGCCAGCAACCCTATGCTTGGTGCGGGTGTGAGCATCCTCACCCCACAGGGGTGAAGTTCAGAGGTGGGAAAGGTGCATACGCTTCAGCAATGCCCTTAGAAGCTAGCTGGGCAGCCGGAACAAGGGGCCCTGCTCCCTACAGCACTTAGATGTGGTGTAACCAACAGCAGTGTGAACCCATTTGTTCTGTGCTCTTCTGGTTCTCTGTTCACTCTGTCTCCAAAGTGGTCCCCTGTTAACATGTCGCTAATACCTTGTCTCCTGTCCATACTCAAGCTTGTTTGGTTGACTTCGTTTCCTGAAGTGATAGATACAATATCCATTCTATTGTATGTAGAATGTACATTTCACCTTCTTCCTATGTTTTCTATCTACTGTTACTGCAAAAAACGCCAGTAGGAAAAGGCATTCAAGAGAACAAGACGAAAGCAACAGTCGAAAAATGCAATGTGAACGTTTCAGAGAGCAGTATGAAGCCAACAGGTAATATTGATATCCTGATTTTGATCAATATCACATTACCTTTCGTCAAGGCTCACATCATGATGGGTCTTATGTTTGATAAAATGAAAGCATAAAGGTCAGGCGGTGGTGGCGCACGCCTTTAATCCCAGCACTCGGGAGGCAGGCGGATCTCTGTGAGTTCGAGGCCAGACTGGTCTAGAAGAGCTAGTTCCAGGACAGAAACCAAAAGCTACAGAGAAACCCTGTCTCGAAAATCAAAATAAATAAATAAATAAATAAATAAATAAATAAATAAATGGAGGCATAAAAAGGTTAAGAACTTGTCAAAAGTCATGTGACTGGTAAGTGATGCCTTTGGAAACTGAAGATACGTGATCTTGAAATCTAGCATCTTGTCTTCCTGACCATGCTGCCTCAGCCTGATAGCACAGTTGGTTACTACAGACGAACAACAACTTAAAAAATTAAATATGGAGCTTAAGAGACAGCTCAGTGCTTAAGACTGTTTGTGTGCAGTGTGGAGACTGATATTACAACCCTAGCCTCCACGTAATGAACACCCCAGGACAGTCACTGAGGTCTGCCTGCTTCAGGTTTGGAGAAATCAGTATTAGTTTCACATTCAATAAGAGACTCTGCTTCTAAAGAATAGGTGGAGAGGGACAGAGGCAGAGACCTTACATCCTTCTCTGGCCTCCGCACGTGCATAGGCACATGTGCTTGTACACACATGCAAGGAAACCACACACACACATGCAAGGAAACTACACACACACACAGAGATGGAGAGAGAGAAACAGTTTTGTTTTGTTTTGTATTTTTTGTTTCTGCGTTAGAGGAATGTTTTGGAGTCAGTGTTCTAATGCTGTGCAGAGACACCATGACCATGACAATTCTTATAAAAGAAAGCATTTACCTGGCGCTTGCTTACAGTTTCAGACGTTTAGTCCATTGTCATCACAGTGAGGAGCACGGCAGCATGCAGGCAGACTGATGCTGGTGAAGTTGCTGACACTTCTATATCTGGATCTGCAGGCAGCAAGATGAGAAGGATACTGGGCCTGGTTTGGGCTTTTGAAACCTCAAAGCCCACCCCCATGACACACTTCCTCCAACAAGGCCACGCCTCCTAAAGTGGTACCACTCCCTGATAACTAAGCATTCAAATCTATCAGCCTATGGGGACCATTCTTATTCAAACCACTACAATGAATATTTGGTTGTTTTAATCAAAATTTCATATAGTTCATATAGTTAACCTTCTCTGAAGTTAATTAAAAGAAACAAAAATAAAATAAATTCTATGTCATTTATATTTCTTTGATGTGTCATTAACAGTGATCTTGTCCCAGCACATGTTACTGTGTGTGTAAAAGTGTGTGTTAGCAAAGCAACTACTGTGTGTAATTGGCTGTGGTGCAGCAGGGACAGGGTGAAATTCACCATGTCTGCTCTTCACTTCAGAGAGTCCAGTCCAGCTAAAGTGCCCCAACGACTGGCTGCAACACCCAGAGAAATGCATACTGTTTTCTCAGGAGAACGGTGTTTGGAAGGAAGGTCTATCTAACTGCACTAGAAAAGGAGCCACTTTGCTGCTCATTCAAGACCAAGAAGACCTGGTAAGTTGTTCTATAAAATAGAGGTGTAAGCATGTTCTGGAAGCTATATCAATGTCTCCTGATTTAACAGATCTTCCATGTAAGGGAAGTGGAGACTTTACATTATGGAAGCTTATAGTCTGAGAGACTAGAGGGACATGTGAGCCAATAAATGCATATGTAAGATGAGTGTCCTAGGATCGTAAATGCTGGGCACAGATTCCTCAAGGTAGGAAGAATGAACTGTGCTGAGGACTCAGGACACAGGTGACACTTGACCTAGGTATCAGAAGACTGTCGGATATGAGTCACAGCACACAGGCTCAGGTTAAGTCCTCTCCTCTGCTTTGATTGTAGAGATTCATCAAGGACTCGATAAAGGAAAAAGGCAATTCATTTTGGATTGGACTAAATTACACCTTGCCAGACAAGCACTGGAGATGGATAAACGGCTCTACTTTAAGCTCTGATGTGTGAGTATTGGAGGAGCTCACTCGAATGTTCATTTCACGTCATCTTACTGTAGGGCTCCAACACTGATACCAAAGATTAGAGATGTTCAGAACAGTCTGAAAGTATGATTCCAAAAGTAGCTGAAAATTTCCATGTGTGAAAAGATACCAGCCTTTTATAAAGTCATGTGTATGCATATATGTACATATGCAAGTATGTATGTATGAGATGGAATTTTAAGGCCAGGAAGCAGACTAACTCCTTTGAAAAATGGCTGCTTAGAACCTCAGCACACATTGCTCTTTCTTTTATCTCCTATCCTTTTCTACACTTTGCATGGAATGTCTTAAGCAGCACATTAGCTATTTGCCCCTGGTGTCTTGTTTTCTTGTTGTGTGAGAAGTCTACACAGTCACAAACGCAATGAAAGAGCTGATGCTTCATAGTTAAGTTGTTTATTTTAGCAGAATTCATGATTATTGGTATAACAAGGAGCAACCTGTCACCGCTACAGATGTGGTAGGAGCTGAGAGAATGGAGCCAATAAATGAGGTGGACTAAAGCCTCGTGCAGCAGCCGGCTTTGTCCAGAGCAGCAGCCATCTGTACTCTGAGGGTTGAGACAGTTCACATGAGCGAAGTTCACAGGCTTTAGCTGTACACAATAACAAAGACAAGCCGAGCATGACAAACATGCTCTTCCAGAGACACACATAGAGGACAGCTTGAATATTATTGATTACCAATAGTAAGTACTAATAAGTAATCTGAAATAAGCCCACTCCTTTCTGTTGTGCCTGGAGGAGCGAGAAAATGCATTCCAACCACATTTCCATGTTTGGAAGGAACTGAGTCACAAGACTCTTGTCCTGTTCTCTTGGAGTGTTCCCTCAATCACTCAGACTTCTCCTTACCTGAGTCCATTCCTGGACCATGTCCCAACAGCAACGTGTTTATGTTTTTCATAAGCAAAAGCAGGCAGGATTCAATCAAATTTCTGTACAGAGCTTTCAATGATTTTTTTCAGAAGAAACGATGTTGAGAATCATATTTCAGTAATTGTGCTAGTGAGTTTTATTTTATACCAACTTGACACAAGCTAGAGACGTCTGAGAGATGGATCTGAGAACATCCATTGAGAAACTGCTTCCATAAAATCAGGTTGTAGGCTAGCCTGTAGGACATTTTCCTAATTAGTAATGTAAGGCCCAGTTCATTGTGGGTGGTGTCACCCTTGGCCTGGAGGTCCTGGGTTCTATAAGAAGCAAGCTGAGCAAGTCACAGTGAGCAAGTGAGTAAACAGCATCCCTCCATGGCCTCTGCATCAGCTCCTGCCTCCTGCTCCTGCCCCTGCCCTGCTTAAGTTCCTGCTCTGACTTAACCTCAGTAACTCTCAGTAAAATAAACCCGTTTCTTCAAAGCTACTTTAGGTCATGCTTTTTCATCACAGTAATGGTAGCCTTAGCTAAGACACAAATCTTGAGTAAATTTGTACACATTGCACAAATCCATACTTGAAATAATCCTTTTAATCATTTAGAATAAAAAGGTAGAAATTTAAACAATAAAGCATATGTAGGCTTCTATTCAATATAATGATAGTATATTAAGTATAGAGATTGTTAAATAGAGAAAATTTACCTAGATAGTAAATGTTCACACTATACAGGACCACATTTTGAATCTTTTTTTAGTGAATGAGATGTTAAAGTGAGAATTTTTTAAAAACAAGTGTTCTGTTCTAGAACATATTTCATATATAGAATATATGAAAACAAAAATATACATATTCTATTTCATAAAATTTATCCTGTATTTTCCTAATGTTTTCTGAGTGTCTTACTTGAGTTACTATTGCTGTGGCCAAAAGCGAGTTGAGGAAAGGGTTTATTTCCTCACTGTTCATCATTAATGGAGTAAGGATGGGCACCTAAAACAGGACAGGAACCTGGAAGCAGGAGCCAATGCAGGGGCCATGGAAGTATGCTGCTTACTGACTTGCTCCTCATGGCTTTCTCAGCCTGCTCTCTTATAGAACCCAGGACCACCAGCCCAGGGGTATCCCTACCCACAGTGAGCTGGGCCCTCCCATGTCAATCACTAATTAAGACAATGTCCCTCAGGTTTGTCTGTAGCCCTGTCTTATGGAGGCATCTTCTTATTGAGGTTTCCTCCTCTCAGAACTCAGTGGTGTCAAATTAGCATAAACCTGTGACAATGAAGACTATTTTCAACATATTACCTATAAAGAAATAGAACTATTTGATGTTAACTTATACTTTTCATACAAAGCAAGGTTTGATTTTTGAATTGTTCCTTCCTAATTTCATCCAAATATTTAGTGAATTTTGGTCATTTTCATGTACCGTTTCCTTCTATCTCTTCTACTAAAACTCTTCTTATTCCCAACAAACTCCTCAAGTTCCTCTCTTACTGTGTGTGTGTGTGTGTGTGTGTGTGTGAGAGTGAGAGAGAGAGAGAGAGAGAGAGAGAGAGAGAGCGGGGGTGGGGAGCCAGAGGGGGGGGAGATAGAGAGGGAGAGAGTGCCTGTGTGGGGGGGGTAGAGGGAGAGAGAAAGGGAGAGAAAGTGTGTGTGTGTATGAGGGAGGGAGGGAAGAAGGAAGGGAGTGTGTGTTAGAGAGAGAGAAGGAGAGAGAGAGAGAGAGGGGGAGAGAGTGTGTGTGTATGTATGTGTGTCTGAGAGAAGAGAGAGTGTGTGTGTGAGAGAGAGGGGAGGAGGGAGAGAGAGTGCATGTGTGTGTGTGTGTGTGAGAGAGAGAGAGAGAGAGAGAGAGAGAGGAGAAAGAGAGAGAGAGAGAGAGAGAGAGAGAGAGTTATTTGACGCTATTCACTATTTCTGTGGAGATGTGAATAAATGTCTTCTGACCCCAGATCGGGAACCAATGACAGATCAAAATAAAAATACTACCCAAGTCCAGTGAGTTAATTGGAATTACTTGTAAGAGTATGAATGAGGGGGTATTTACAGAACATAAGCCACACAAAGGCAGGGGTCACTGAAAACCCTCCCCAAAACTGGTGACATCATATAAAAGCTGGACCCTTCAAGCTCTCTGCACAGCTTGTAGGCAGTTCAACTGATGAGACAACTTCTTCTCACCAATTCTTACTGTTCATATAACCTTTGGGTATAAAACGTTTCCTGCCTCTGATCAGTTTCAGGAACTTGTTAAGACTTGTGAGTTGTTTATTTTCTGAGTTTTAAGGAGCTTCCCTTTAGAACTTTCAGAATCTGAATGAGTCTCCCTCCAGGATGGATTGTTTCAGTTCAGAGGAAATTGCTATACAACAGTGTGTGTGTGTGTGTGTGTGTGTGTGTGTGTGTGTGTGTGTGCCATTGAGTTTAATTGTGCTTGCTTGCATGAATATGAACTGGAGGTTATTCCCTGGAGTATGGGCAAATGAACAACGGCTATGTCATTGATGAAAATGACATCTCCTCACCCAGCAACTATTGACTACCTGTCTACTCAGGGAAGTCTGGGGTCTGAGATCTCCCTTTCTACCTGTGATGGAAAGTTTGCCGTCTAGTCCCAATCTTGTCTTGGTCTTGTGCAAGGAATCATAGCAGCAGTGGCTTCATGAGTACATCATCCACATCAAGTTCAGAAGACACATCATGAACATCATCCCCACCCTCTGGCTCTTACATTCTTTCTGCCCCTTTCCATGATGTTCCCTGAGGCAGAGGGTATGGTGATGATACAGATGTCCCACTTAAGGCTGAGCACTCAGTGACCACTTCCAATTGTCATATCACTTCTTATTGCGAAAAGAAGTTTCTGTGCTAAAGACCGAGAGCAGCAATAATCTGTAATAAAACTTATGTATTCAGAGGGAAATTTTAAACATATTCATCTAACAATGCAACAGCAGTGTGTTCCCATATGGGTTTGATCAGACTTGCAATACAGGCATGAATTCTATCCTATTGAATGGGCCTCAAATCCAATCAGCACAAAGAGTGGTTGGTTACTTCCGTAACAGTTTTGCCACTATTGCTCCACTATTGCAGGTTGTTATTTGTAGTAATAAGGGCGGCGGGGCTGCGTCCCCAGCACCCCAGCCGCCAGCACGGCTAGCTTATGCCCGAAATAACAACACACAAACTGTATTCATTTAAACACTGCTTGGCCCATTCTCTTCTAGGCTAATTCTCACATATTAATTTAGCCCCTTTCTAATCATCTGTGTGTAGCACCCTAAGGTGCGCTTACCGGGAAGATTCGAGCCTATGTCCATCCTGGGTTGGAGCTTCATCCCAGGAGCAGGGCATGGCGTCTCTCTCAGGCGTCTGCTCCCGAGAGGAGAGCTGTGGAGACTCTGAGCTCACTTTCTCTTCCTCCCAGGATCCTGTTCTGTTTACTCCACCCACCTATCTTCTAACCAATAAAATGGGCCAAGGCAGTTTCTTTATTAGCCAATGACCTTCCTCCATCATTTCCCCTTTTTCTGTTTAAACAAAAAAAAAAGGCTTTAACTTTAACATAGCAAAATTACATATAACAAAACAGTTATCAAGTAAAAGTTACATTAATCTTTATCATAACTAAGGAAAACTATAACTATAACTAACTACTCTTAACTCCATCAAAGACTCCAGAAAGATACAATACTACCTAAGCAAACAAGAAAAAAGCAACTTTTAAAACTCTAGAAATGACAGAGACATCTCGCTGCCTGGACAGTCACCCAAAGTTCCTCTGTACCGTTGGGGCATCAATCTTCAGCCTTCAGGCCCATGGTATCCAGCAGACATTTCCATAAAGCAGGAAAATTCAAAGTCAGTTCAGTCACTATCTGTTGTGTCCTGCAGAATGTCTCGCAGACTCTTTCATGAATCAGGAACCCCGAAAGATCATCTCACCTTAGACAAGTTCAGTAGTCCTCTCTCTGTGGGTTCTCTGTGTCCAGTTTATGCAATAGTCCAGGCAAGAGCAGTTTCTTGCCCAAATGGCTATCAAACTCCATAAGGTGCCTCTTCGATGCCCATCTTCCTCTTGAAGTACATTGGTGCTGCCAGGAGCAGAGTGTCTCATTGTCATGAAAAGTCCTCAGTTATTAAAACATTAAATGTCCTATTCTGTAATCTTTGAAAGACATGAAGAATGTCTATCTAAAATATATCTCTATATATCTAGAAAATCTAACATGACTACAAGCTTTACTATTATCGATGATTATCCATTAACAACCTATATTTCTTAATTATACAGTACATATTTAAATGAACTACACAATCACAATACCTTAATCAAAATCAGAAACACTTATATATATATAACAAAATTGACCGTAAATCGCTATCAATAAAGCAAAATCTATACCAATGTAAATTATTCATATCTATATCATATCCCCCTTAAAATGTAAAAGAACGTTTATAAACCATATTTGGGAACATGGGCACAGTTTTTTCTCTCCAAACTGCTTCCTGCTGAATGGGGGCGTCGTTAATTAGGTCTTTCATGGTATAACCTGTGTGCTAGTTTCATCTCAGTTGGCAGTTGAGTGAAGCAATTGTTTGAAGGCGTGTACAGGAACCATTCAGGAGGACGTGGTCCATCATACCAAATCGGAATAGAAGAAATGAACAGCGTCTCATCCTCTGTGAAAACAAAATAAGAAACTCCTTTCCAAAGTATCATATCCTTAGATCCAAATTCAAAATATCTATGTTGCATTAGTTCAGCAGTATTTATAAATAAATACCTTTTAGCAGCTGTTGCTCCTTCCTCAGCATTCAAATAATTCAAAGAGAGCATAATAGCATACAGTATCAAGATTCTCTGTGTATTTTCCATCTTTGTTCGTTTTATTTTAACCTCTATTTTGTTTATTTTTACTTTTAAATTTTTGCTTTTTGAGATAGGTTCTCTGTATCTTTGACCTGAAGTAACTCTGTAGACCAGGCTGTCTTTGAACTCTCAGAGATCCGCTTGTCTCTGCCTCATAGGCATTGGGATTAAAGGTGTATGCTAAGACACCTTGAACTCACAGAGAACTGTTTGTCTCTGCCTTCTAGGCACTGGGATTAAAGGCGTGTGCTACCACACACAACAACTCTCTTCCTTTTTTTGGTTTTTACTTTAAGAACTTCAACTTTTAGTCTGCATACATTTTTAACACGCTGTAAACCATTTAAAAAATTTCTTTGTCTTTGAATCTCTCTTTACTGTATATCTCTCTTTTTCTGACCACATGAGTCTTTTTTTTTTTTAACCAAGCAATTAATTTACCAAGCAATATCAGTAGGATTAAAGGCGTGGCTTTGCCGGCTGGATCCAGCCCATTCCTTAGCTTTCCAGCCTTATGGCTGAGGTACTGGCTGTAGCCATGTTTACTGCCACAACTGTGTGGCATTTCAAGGTCCCTGCCAGCCAGCGAGCTACAACAGACTACACTCAAGTCCTCTCTCGGTAGCCGGCCCTCCTGCTTCAAATAGTCAGAGTTTGCCCTGGCAGGACAGCCCAGAAAGCTGGCATTTTTAAATGGCGCAGCTTTTTTCCTGTTACGGCTGAAAACCGAAAAGCATGCGTTCAGCTTTTCGTCAACACCGTTTAAGTGTTTCGTGCCAGGACCTCTTAATGAGCTGCAGGCTTTGCAACTAAAGCTGAGTCAGGAAGCCTCTCTTAGATGAAAGCGCATGCTTGCCTCTAACAAGCAGAGCAGACCCGAGAACACAGCGAGTCTAGTTGCCATCAAACAAATCATAGCACTTTACTCCAAATGCTCTATTCAAAAGCTCTGTCTCCCGCAGGAGCCAGACAGATATTGCAATGGAGGCACAGCCCCAGGAAGTGGCGCTTTAAAATGACACAGCGTTTTTTCTGCTACTGTTGCCGAACCAGGAAATCTCTCTACAGCACGCCACCAACAAACAGCAAAAATCTGTGTTAAACTCTCTCTCCCTTATTTTTAAGCCTTCTCAGGTTTTATAAGTGGGTTTAGTCCATCACGTTGGGAGCCAATCTGTTGAAATAAGAGCGGCGGGGGGGCTGCGTCCCCAGCACCCCGGCTGCCTGCTCACCTAGCTTATGCCCCGAAATAACAACACACAAACTGTATTTATTTAAACACTGCTTGGCCCATTCTCTTCTAGGCTAATTCTCACATATTAATTTAGCTCATTTCTAATCATCTGTGTGTAGCACCCCAAGGTGCGCTTACCGGGAAGATTCTAGCCTATGTCCATCCTGGGTCGGAGCTTCATCCCGGGAGCAGGGCATGGCGTCTCTCTCAGGCGTCTGCTCCCGAGAGGAGAGCTGTGGAGACTCTGAGCTCATTTCCTCTTCCTCCCAGTATCCTGTTCTGTTTACTCCACCCACCTATCTTCTAACCAATAAAATGGGCCAAGGCAGTTTCTTTATTAGCCAATGACCTTCCTCCATCAGTATTGTAGTCTGTGGGATCCACAGCTAAGTTGGACATTGATGACTCTTATTACCCAGAAGCCTGCATAACACTTTTTTCTGTGTGTGTGTGTGTGCTCACACACATCTGCATGTATGTGATGTAACATGCTTATTTTATTGTGATTCACAGTGATAATAAAATTGAAAGACAAATGAAGAGTATGGATTAAGCTCAGTCCACCTGTCTTTTTTACCCTGAGTGTAAAATGATGCTTTAAATATATAATAGCCATCAGGTAAGCCCGGAGCCTGCTGAGCTACAGCAGAAAGAGCATTGGTTAAGCCCTGCTTTTCTTTTAGCTTCGACCCTGGTTTTCAGATAAGGAAAATGTAACCATTTTCCCTGCCATGATTATTTGAGAAATTAATAAAATAATGTTAGAGGTCTCCCACGGCCTGGTAGGCGAAGGCCTAGGAAGCCTCAAAGGCATTTTGAACAGATCAGTCCTAAGGAAATCATCTTTAAAAATGGAAGAAATAAGACAAAGGAACCTTTACAGTGAAGGGAGTCTATGGTATGACTAGCATCCAGGCAGCTAGGTGAGAGCGATTTCTCTCTCAGACCCAAAGGGCTCCATGAAGAAATGACCAAAGGAAAGAGAGCATCTGGGAGGAAGTCCCGCCCACTGTCACACACCCCCATTTGTTTACTATAAGTCAGTGCATTTTGAACTCATCTCGTCCCTACAGTTAACTCTAATTTTACCTGCATTGTGTTTGAATTCTTGTTTTGTTTACACCGGCAGTGTACCATGGGAGCCACAGAAGCCATGTATAAGTACTAAATTAAATACTCCCAGGGATAAAGGGACCACTGCCGTCACACAGCCTTAGCCTCTTTCCTCTGTGGATGCTGAGAGTCTGTAGAGCCACTAAGCACCGCTGTGTTTATCTGTTGTCACATGTTCATGTGTACATGAACTCCTTCCCCAAGCACTGGCTGGTTATAGCCTATATATTTAGGAGACCGAAGCTCAGCAAATTGAACTCAGCAACTGTTTTCCTTGCATGAGATGTTAGCAGTAGAATAAGATTCAATTGTGTTTCCAAACCTTCTCCTTTGTTATATCAGATGAATGCTATTTATTTATTTATTTATTTCTGCAAGAATTCTTCTCCAGTAGTAAGTAAAGTTGAAAATTATGCTGGAGATCTGTTCCCACAAACTTTTATTTTTAATGTTGTTACTCTAGGTTAACTAAAACTAAGAACTATGTAGTCTACAGTCCTTACAAGTCCAGAGAAAAACATGGCCAACTCAAGAGAATTATGAGAAAATCCTAAGTACTAATAGTGGCTGTTCTCTTCCTCCTCAGATTGAAAATTACTGGTGAAACTAAAATAAACAGCTGTGTCGTCGTCTCAAAGGACAACTTGGTTTCTGAGAACTGTGATTCAGAAAACAAGTGGATCTGCCAAAAGAAACTAAAACTTCCTTGAAACCAGGTGTAAAGACTCCTGCCTGCGATTACTTTACCATACAGACCTCTGCACTCACTCTGTCTAGGCTGCCAGCCCTCCCAGTGTGCAGCAAATCACTGTGATTCTTCCAGATGCCCCTGTCCGGTTTCTTTATTCTGTAAATGGGACATGATGCTGATTTGCCATTCTAAGAGAGTTGTTCTGTGGAAAGACGCCCAGGCAAGCTGAGGGGCACTGGATTCTAACCCTGGAGTCTGTATGACCTTCACTGGTCTCTGTTCCTGAGATCGCCTGCAGAAAACTGTTTGCAGAGTCCTCTTCTCTCCATCCCCTCACGCAAAGCCAGCACACACTGATGAAAGCCTTTGCTCTTGCCTGACCCCAGAAGCCATAGTTAAGGGACTTGGGGAAAGGCCTCACAGTGGTTTCAATGGCACCTACAAAAGCCTAGATAAACAGAGCGCTGGTCATGTGACATCTGCACCAGGACATGATGCACCAGCAGACCCTGGGCCAATGCTGGCATCTTCGCGTTGGGTTTCACAGCTCCAGAACTGGCAGAGATGAGCTTCTTCCTTACCAGAGAGGCAATCAAAGGGACAATGGCTGTGTCTTGGTTGCTGTGTCTCCTGATGTTGCAATGCTCCTTTGTGGATAGAGACCTTTGAAGCTGCAGCTGGGCTCCTCCTGCCATGTCAGAAACTAAGGCACCAGGGGACTTTCCCAATGACCATAGATGTCATCAACAATTGTGTTGATGAGCAGGGAAGGGAAAAGTGTGCAGACATCTTGGCCCTGGAACAATTTCAGCAGAGTAAGATAAATGAAGCTGGCTCCCAAAGGGAGGAACTTGACATTGGTATAAGAGAGAGGGGACCATGAGGAGCATTAAAAACCTCCACCATGTAGAGCCCAGTGGGCTGCCAGCCACCTCCAGTCTCGCCTGCTTTGATATTGTTCTTGAGTTTGTTGTTGCTTTGAGTTTCTTTGCTTTGCTAAATAGACTTGAGCCTAAACTGTGTCTTAGCTGACTTTTTTCTGTGGAAAGACAAAATGAAAGAATAAATCTTTACCCACTGAGTTAGTTAACCTTTTACCAACCTGACACAAGCCAGGCTCATCTGTGCGGAGTGAACTCAGTTAAGAAAACACCTCCATGAAACTGGAGTGTAAGCTAGCCTGCCTGGCATTTACTTGATTAATGATTGATATGACAGGGCCCCCACTGTAGGTAATGATGTAGGCTCCCTGAGAAGGTGATCCTGCATAGTATAAGAAGGCAAACCGAGTAAGCCTGGAGGAACAAGTTAGTAAGCAGCCTGCATCCTTGGCTTCTACCTCAATTCCTGCCTCCTGGTTCCTGCCCTGAGTTCTTTGCCTGACTTTCCTTTCAAGGCTTACTGTAAACTATAAACTGAAACGAACCCTTTCCTTCCCAACTTGCTTTTGGTCATGGTGTTTATCATAGCAACAAAAACCTGACTAAGATACCTGGTGATGACATGGTCCACATGAGATAGTTACTGACAAGCACAAACGTGGTGCAGGAGAGATGGCTCAGAGGTTAGAGCTTCAATTACCAGCAACCACATAATGAGATCTGACACCCTCTTCTGGCCTGCATGCATGCATGCAGTTAGAACCCTATACATAATAAGTAAACCTTAAAAAAAAAGAAAAACTAATTAAACGGTTCGAACCTTTATTAATTAATAGCCATGCATGAATGGACTCACACCTCTGGGATGTTTCTTGGTGTCTGAGCTCAGGAGTACAGAAATTAAAAAGACAAAACTATAATTATATAAGTGTTGGGGAGGGGTATATAAGTGGTGAGGAATTTAGAGGTGCCTAGTAACATCTTCATTGTTTACAAGGCTAGTCTGTGTCTTGCAGACACAATATATCCAAATCATAGTCAAGTGGACAGCCCCAGAGGCGTCAACACCGTGAATGTGGCTGTTGAAGTGACCAGGCAGGCACAAAGTCATGTTGGGACAGCACGGTGGTACCTTCGTCTTTTCAGTAATGCAACGACAAAATCAGAGCACAAATCTGAAGGAAATAGTCCCATAAATTATCATTTGCATGTTCACCTGGTACTGGTAACAACTTGGCATGGTATTGGCGACAACTTCATGGCGCTGTTTATGACAGCTGAGTCCTTCCTGATGGCTCCTGAGTCATCCCCCTCACACAGATATTACATATGAAATCAAGAGACCCTCAAGGCACATTGGATGGAATGTTTTCCCATGACCCCAAATAGATTATCTGTATCCATCACTCCTGCTGCAGCCCTAGTTTATTATTGGATCAGATCCTACTGAGATCATCTCTGAACTCCAGCTATGGAGGTGAAATTCCAACAGGAATGGTTTGTGAAACCTCAGGTCTAATTCAGATGTCACAGGCGGTCACTGAGCCCTGTCAGATCTGAGTCAGTGTTTGTCCACATAAACTATCTGCACCTCTAAGTCACATCCAGAGGATGCAATCCCAAGCCTGCCTCCTGTCAATTATAAAACAAAACAGAGATGAGTGCTCATTAGGATACGGAGAAAAGATCAAGTGCCTGCACTGGTGGGGATGAAAGCTGTCCTGGCCGTTCTGCACAACAGCAAGGGAGTCCTCAAAAATTGGAGACACATCCACTTTACCGTTATACAATCCTTTTCTGTGCCTATGTCCTAATAAAAGAAAAACTGTAAAATGGTTTATTTTAATTTTCAAGTATGGGAGATGGAAAGGGAAGAGATAAGGGGATTTAATTTGTTAGTAGTTATTAGTTCAAAGATGGCTTTCAGATCCTCCTGCCTCTGCGGTTCTAGTGCTGGGATTAAAGGCGGGGCCCCTACGCCTGGCCCCAGAATGCCAGTATGTGTCTTGTTTTATGAATCCTGTCAGGGACCCTGCCTTCTAAGGCATCTTTGCACATTTCTTTTCCTCGATCCAGCAATGGAAGACATTGTCTTATGAAGTTTTTACTTTTAGGCTTGTTAGCTCATAAATTCAAAGGGCAGTCTGTTGCCATCTTGTGTCCATAATGCGCAACTGCAACTTTGAATGTGTAGGACATGGGGAGAAATTTCACTTTTACCACCTGGTGGAACCTTAGCAGCCCCTGTGCTGAAATACAGTCATAAAATGATTGATGCTTCAATCTAGATCGCTTTGGAGGGATTTGTTCAGCAATAGATAGTACTTTTTAATACAACAGATAATCAGAACAGTGGTGTGGGATAATACTCTTGTACACTCTAAAAATTTACACTTGTATTGGTTTAATAAAATGCTGACTGGACATTAGCCAGACAGGAAATATATTCAAGGCAATCAGACTAAGATAATTCTAGGAAGAGGAAGACAGAGAGACGTAGTCATCAACCCGATTCAGAGGTAGTAAATGAGAACGACTCCCTGAGAAAATGTACCAAGCCACGTGGATAAACAAGGATTATGGGTTAATTTAATTAAGAACTAGTTAGTAATAAACCTGAACTAATAGACCAAACAGTTTATAATCGATATAAGCCTCTGAGTGTTTCTTTGAGACTGAATGGCTGTGGGACCAGTGGGACAGAAGCGTCCATCTACAGAACAGCTTTATTTGCTTGTTCCTTCAGCCCTGAGTTCAGCTGTCTGGTTGCTTCAAAGATGTGTGAACATCACAGGATATTTCTAGTTACAAAAAAAACAAATTTAGAGAATGTCTTGATCTAAAGGAACTCATTTCTTAACCCCTTACAAACTCAAGCAGTTATAACATCTGCTGATTCCCACAAGTATGTCCTCGGTGAAATCTTGTTTCCCAGTGTGGAGGCCCAAAAATGTCTATTTTCACATTCACCAAAGGTCAGAGAGTTGGAACTTACCTCTATTCCTTCAAGGTTGTTGTGTTTCTACCTCAAACAAGGTCACACCTAGATTCAGGTCAGAGAGTTCTACTCTCTCAAGGTGATTGTCCACAGTGTGGCTAATAGCCAGACCTTGTGCTTCAGGAATAGAGAAGTACATATGTTTCTGCCTCTAACAAAAGTCTAGGATCCAACTAAAATTCCAGTTTCTTTCAAGAGATAACATTGGATTCCACACAGGGAGTGGTTTGTCTACAGAATGTTTTGGTCTAGGATGTGTATTTGACTTGTTTTGTTCTAACAACAGAATGTTTAACTATGGAAGTAGCTCACAACCTTCTATTAGTGGAGGGTCTGTTTGTTTGTCCTGGCCACTCAGCTAGTTTAGCCCCAAAATAATCACACAGAAACCGTATTAATTAAATCACTGTTTGGCCCATTAGTTCTAGCTTCTTATTGGCTAACTCTTACATTAATTAAACCCATTTCTATCAATAAGCATATTGCCACATGGCAGTGGCTTACCGGGAAAGAGTAGGTATGGCTGACTCTGTTGGCTCCATGGCGTCTCTCTGACTCTTCTTCCTCCCAGCATTCAGTCCAGTTTTTCCACCTACCTAAGTACAGTCCTAGCAACAGGCCAAGGCAGTTTTTTTTTTATTGATTAACCAATAAGAGCAACACATAGACAGAAGGACCTATCACAGCATTTCCCCTTTTCTGTTTAAACAAAAAGGAAAGTTTTAACTTTAACATAGTAAAATTACATATAACAGAACAGGTATCAAGCAAGAATTACAGATATAAATATTCTAACTACTTTTTAATCATAACCAAGGAAAACTATACCAATCTCTACCTATTCTTCAACTCTATCAAAGACTCTAGAAGGATATAATATTACCCAAGTAAATATGAAGTGAATTGTAAGCAACTTCCAAAATGCAAGAATTGACAGAGACATGTCGTTATCTGGACAGTCACCCAAAGTTCTACTGCACCATTGGGCCATCCTTTTTCAGCCTACGGGCCCTCAGTATCCAGCAGACTTTTCCATGAAGCAGGAAATTTCAAAGATTCCACCTATATTAGCAGTTTGTCAGTCATTTTCTTCTGTGTTGTGCAGAATGCTCGGCAGACACCCTCATGAAGCAGGAACCCTGAAGGATCATCTCACCTTTAGGCAAGTTCAGCAGTCATTTCTCTGTGGGTCCTGCATGTCCAGTTATGCAGTCCAGGAAAGAGCAGTTTCTTGCCCAAATGGCCAGCAAACTCCATAAGGAGCGTCTTCGATGCCCATCTTCCTCTTGAAGTAGCTTGTGCTGCCAGGAACAGATGTGTATCATTGTCATGAAAATCCTAAGTCATTAAAACATTTTAAATCCTGTATTCTGTAGTCTTTGAAAGGTTAGAAGAATGGCTACCTATCTGAAATACATCTCTGTACATCTAGAAAATCTTGACTACAATAGGTGATTATATATTAACCTGTATTTCTTAATTACAAATCACATTTTTTAAATGGACTGCAAAATCACAATGCCTTAATCATGAGTAGAAATATACGTATAACAAGATTGACCTTATATTTTTATCAATAAACCAAGATCCATACCAATGCAAATCTCCATAGCATATCCCCACACCTAAATGTAAAGAAGCACCTACAAACAATATTTGGGAATATGGGTGTGCTTTTGTCCAAAATGCTTCCTGCTGTTTGGGAGCACTGTTAATCAGGTCTTTCCTGGTGTATCCTGTGTGCTAGGTTCATCTAAGTCAGCAATTGGGTGGTGAGTGCATAGGCAGGACCAGGCATTATTCAGTAGCAAGGGCCTCCCACCGCCATCCACACCTAGGAGGACCTGGAGATTCCAGAGACACACGAATCACTACCCACCTCATCCCTACCCTCTGGCAGCAGAAGCACAGAGGACGCTGTGGTCCTGATGGCTGCACGCTTGAGACATAAACAAAGTCAGAAGGAGGCCAGAACACTAGGAGACAACACAGGGCTCCTCCTCAAAGGTCAGCCTTGACACAGTGGGGCCTTTCTCAGGGCACAGTGGATGCCATAACACAAAGTCCTGGTCCCTGCATGTGGACCCTGAGGCTGCTACAGGGGTCTGGGAAGGGAGAAATCCCTA